TGGTCGTCCCCGAGGCCGGGGGGGGGGGGTACTGTCACGGTTTTGGCCGAGGCTGCTCCTCCTCCTGGTTCGGGCAGGCTTCGGCGGTCGTCGTCCCCGGAGTACTAGCTGCCACCGATCTATGTTTCATGTTCGTTTGGTTTTGTCTTGATGTTGTACACCTGTGTCTTGTTAGTCCTCGTTAGTGTCCTATTTAGTTCTCGTTGTGTGTGTTTGTCTTTGTGTGTGATTGCTCTTCTGTTTTGTGTTGGAGCTACGTACTTCACTCCAGTGTTTTGGAGAGGTTTTTCGCACATGTTAGTGCGCCGTTTGTTTGACGCCTGTGTGCGCCGTTATTTCGCCTTCGGGCTTATTGTGCTTATTTTCTACGTGAATATTGCACTAAAGTCTTTTGGACTGAGCTTCTGCGTCCTGCGCTTGATTCATGCACCACACCCACCTTCAGCACCCCTTGACAGCATGAAAAGAATGCCAACACTTATGGTTACAAAAACTCCATTTCCCTCAAAGAGAGCCAGCAGTAGCTTAGCCTTAGCTCTATTAGCTGATTGAAAATGATACATGTGAGTTGTGTAAATGCATCAGTAAGAGCAAATCACCTATTCCAGCTGTATCTATCCACTTCATACAGGGCATTTTGCATTTTGTGAATGACGTCATGGATTGAATAATATCCAGTTACAGGAAATACTATCCGCAGACTTTTTGTAACTGAACCATTGAAAAATCCAACAAAAATCATGTGTTAAATGATTACAGAAGTGAGTGCTACGGGGCGATAGTCATTTAGTTCAGTTGCCTCCTCTGTACATACAGCACTACACATGTTCTTCCAATATCAAGATCTCGGGCAATGACATAGGCATGAAATTAAAACATTCAAGCATAATGACACATTTGTAGTCTCAACTGCTTGGGGATTGTTATGAACATATTCTTAATCACTCCGATAAAGGCTTATACCAGCAGCGTTGCAGTTCTTGACACACTCAAACCGGTGAGCCTGGCACCTACAACCGTACCCTGTTCAAAGGTGCTTAAATATTTTGTCTTGCCCATTCACCCTCTGAATGGCACACATACACGATCCATGTCTCAGTTGTCTCAAGGCTTAAAAATCCTTCTTTAGCCTGTCTCCTCCCTTTCATCTACACTGATTGAAGAAGATTTAACAAGTGACATCAATAAGGGATCCTAGCTTTCACCTGGTCAGTCTATGTCATGGAAAGAGGAGGATTTCTTAATGTTTTGTATACTAAGTGTATATATATACATATATGTCTTGTGTAACAATTTTGCTTTCCATCCCTCTCCTCACCCCTAACTGGGCTTGAACAAGGGACCTTCTGCACACATCGACAACAGTCACCCTCGAAGCACCGTTACCCGTCGCTCCACAAAAGCCGCGGCCCTTGCAGAGCAAGGGAAACAACTACTTCAATGTCTCAGAGGGAGTGACGTCACCGATTGAAACGCTACTAGCGCGCAACGCTAACTAGCTAGCCATTTCACACCGGTTACACATGCTCAACAGTTTGCCATTTGTATCAAGAATGGTCCACCCCCAAAGGACATCCAGCCAGTTTGACACAACTGTGGGAAGCGTTGGAGTCAACATGGGCCAGCATCTCTATGGAACACTTTCGACGCCTTGTAGAGTCCATGCCCGACAAATTGAGGCTGTTCTGAGGTCAAAAGGGGGTGCAACGGAATATTAGGAAGGTGTTCCTAATGTTTTGTACAATCAATGTATAGGCTTTTAAAGTCAGTGGCAGACTTGTATAGGAGAAGTTATGTGTGATAATAATCGGAATAATTAGAGAGATACAGAGTGGAGATTTAGTACCTGCTCAGTCCAATTTTACATTAAATCACACAAAAACCTACATAGTAATAATAACAGTGTGAAATGTTGACCTGGTATCAGCTGAAACTGACATGATGAGTGTCATATCTACTGCTGTACATATCATTCTAAGTATATATTTTTGTTGTATATAAGCATAGATTGGATTTGGATTAGTGATAAAGTGTGATTTGGGTTGGATTCTTTCTGACATTTGTCATTTCTAATTTCTTGTTTTTGATTATTATTTGGGTACTTGTTTGACATTTTTGCTGCACTGCTAGGAACTAGTAACACAATAATTACTCTGCACCCGCTATAACATCTGCTAAACTTTCTGACAGTCACCTGCTTTGTCCGTCCAGTGCTCGAGTAGCCTACTCCGCTCCAGTATGGCACCCAGGTCTCACAGCCCACCAACACAACCAACTTGAGAAGATCCAACGACGTGCAGCCAAAATCATCATGGGCCCCACCTACACCTCCTACGACTCTGCATGCAATGACCTGGGCTTGCAGTCCTTGGAGTCCCGCCGCACCCACCTCTGCAGATCCTTTGCACAGAAGCTTGCAAAGTCCCAGGATTACAACAAATGGCTGCCTCAGACGAGAGGCCATGTCAGTGGCAGATCTGCTCGATCCAGCCACAAACTGAACCTCCCCCATACTCTGACTGACAGGTACTACAACAGTCCTGTGCCTTACTTTGTGAGACCACTTAATGCTGCTTAACCGTAATATTGTATACTACATCTGTCATGAACCCTGCATCCTGAGTCGGTTCCTGCCTGTGTTGCCATTTTTCTGCTCGGAATCTCCAGTTTCCTGAGGGTTCGTGAACGCTCCCGGCCTGGTTGCCGGGCGACGTTGCTAGGCGGGAGATCTCCCGATTAACCGCACCTGCATCTCATCAGCGGTCTGCACACCTGGTCCTGATCATCACCCTTCTTAAGCCCTGACCTGACATCCATTCCCTGCCGGATCGTTAGCCATGAACAGTATGTTTGTCAGTGTATCAGCCTTGGAGTTTCTAGCGTTAGTTTTGTTGTTTTGCACCTTGTTGGCTTGCGGTGTACTTACCTCCGTTTTGTTTCTATCTGCAGTCAATCTCCCGGAACCTTCACCCAACCCCTGCCTGGTTGTCGGCGGCTGCCGAGCCATTCTTGGATCTACCACTGCACCTCCACCAACTCATCTCCGCCGTCCGCTCTGTCCCCTGGATTATTCTACATCGTTTTTTTGAATCTGTTAAATAAATACTCACCTTCGTTTCAACTCACCTTGTCCTGGTCTGCTTCTGGGTTCTGGCTTAGTAAACCGTGACAACATCTCAGATTTTAATTTTTTTATTTGATTTACTTACTTACGTAGGCCTATGTACGCTGCAATTCAGCTTTTAACTGCAAATGTGTACAATTCCAAATTAACGTTAAATATATAAACTGTGTATGCGACCAATAAACTTTGATTTGAATTGTCAGACAATTTATACTATAGGTGACACTCTTTATGCTGACGTAAGGAGTTAATTTCTATAGGTTCTTGGACCATTAATCCAACCATAAAGATAATAATAATAATAACATGGTTCTGAAACGAATTGCTTGACAAGCTCATATCAATTACACATAGTTTGTCGTTTTCTCATAATCGCTCAGCTGGTGTTATTTTTGGCAGCATGTCTTCACCTCCTGATGTAGAGCTGCACTCCTGTACTATATTCTGTAGGGGTCTGTAGACCCTACAAAGTAGTCTAGATTCAATTTTAGTGATGTAACTAAAGCCAACACCTTCACTGAAGAAAGTGAAGATGGTTTGTTTTGCTAAATGGACACCACAGTAAATGTTTTGATAATTCAATCAATTTGTATGTATATGACTAGAGTATTCTTCGTGATTTTTTACACGGAATAATATTATATCAAATATTATTGTTGTAATGTACAATACGGATTGGATCTGTAAATCTGGGGTCTCGTGCCATTTCACATGCTATTTCTTGTAGACAGTGGCATGGGAAAAAAGGGGATATGGTTGACATGCAAAGCTAAATGTAAGGGTTTGGTTAAGGTTAGGGTTAACCTGTCAATGGGATGCTGGTAAGAAAAGTCCCCTTAATCTCTACCCAGTGGCATATGGATGGTCCAAAAAGGCGATTGGGGGTGAGGGCATGAGGCATTCTATTGAAAATCTACTGTGTTTGCAATGCAGATGAACAATGTGCACACTGACACCCAGTGGTAAGACCTGCCATGTCCAAGGCTACAAACTCAGTCCGGGTGGGCTGTACCAAAGCTTTACAAGCCAACATGGTCAAAAAGTATAACAAGTCTTGTAACCTATTCATAGTGTATTTGAGAATAAAATAAAATAAATACTCAGTCTATGTCTTCTTCTGACCCAGAAACATTAGTCCAACACCCATCAATGTCCTGATTCAGGATATTAGCAGTGCTCAGTAGATGTCCTTGTTGTCTTAAAATCAGTCAGTACATGAGTTTAATCTCTGTGCTGATAAAAGTCCTAGCTACTAATTTATGTTTGCCACAACCACCACTGGCCAGTTCAACATCATTAGCTGACTGTTGAGATTAATATAATCATATTGTCATCTATTAACACTGATTCCACACCCTAAACTGAATTATCATGAGTCTAACCAGTAACCACATAACTAGAATGAGTGATTATATTTCTATGGGTTTAACACTCTGATGTCAATGACAATGTCATGCCATTTTAATGTCATTATCCCCCCCCACACACACACTCTCTCTCTCTCTCTCTCTCTCTCTCTCTCTCTCTCTCTCTCTCTCGCTCTCTCGCTCTCTCTCGCTCTATCTCGCTCTATCTATCTATCTCTCTGCTGTGAGAGAGGGAGAAGAGGAGATCATCATAAAATAAACCAGGAGCGATTTTGGCAGCCGTAGTGGCGCGCTCTCTCTTCTTCCCACATACCGCTTTAGCCGACAACCACAAATGCACACAGTGACAATCATTAATCTCTGCTTGGAACCACAACACCTCAGCACACTGTCCACCGGACTCTCACTTCAGCGCTCCTACTTTTCGTTTAAAATCCGCTCTGGACTAGCGAGGGACAGCACAATATCCGGGAGCTACCACGACTCGTTCTTCTCCCCTCATAATCTGAATGACGGGCGGACGGTTCGACTTTGACGATGGTGGCACATATTGCGGTGGCTGGGAGGATGGAAAAGCCCATGGGCATGGCGTCTGTACCGGGCCCAAGGGCCAAGGCGAATACTCCGGGTCCTGGAACAATGGTTTTGAGGTAGTGGGGGTGTACACCTGGCCCAGTGGAAACGTGTATCAGGGCTACTGGGCACAGGGGAAACGACACGGACTCGGTGTGGAATCGAAGGGAAGATGGATTTATCGTGGCGAATGGACTCATGGATTTAAAGGTCGATACGGGGTCCGGCAAAGTCTCCACACGCCTGCCAGATACGATGGGACATGGAGTAACGGTCTGCAAGATGGATATGGAGTTGAAACGTATGGTGATGGAGGTAAGCGTGCCAGTAACAGTTTGTGGTTAGTAGGCTACATGTAATGCAGTCTCACTTGTTACAGTGTAGAAGGGGGCATATGTTTCCACAAGTGTTTCGTTGTATATTTATAGAACAGTTGTAGTATAAGAGTTGACTATTTCCATTAATTACGAAAGATTCTCGATGAGTAATTCACTTGTATCACAGTGTGATAGAGTAGAAAAGCCTGCCTGAACTATGTGCCAGTGCCACACCACTGAACTCAATTGATATATGACTGTACTGGTCAGTCAGCACTGAGCACTTCCATAGTAACCCAACGTAGCAGGCGTACTCCCATAGAGGTCATGGCTAAAAATAGAAACATCACTCAGCCACACTTGAAAATCAAAGTGCTTTTTACCCAGCGCAGATCTATAGACAACTATTGATATTTGTTCATTTGTTGCACTATGGAAATTAGTGTACAGTAGTTTCTACAGAAAGTAGTTTTAGAGTTGTTGTTGTTGTTTTCAAAGATTGTGTTTGAGGCACAGGTGGTCATGAAGTTGTAATGCCAGGCAACCTGGTCTCAGAGCATTTCGTATTATTCTGTACGTAAATCCGAGACACACCATTTAGAACGATATGTTAAGTTTCGTGTGGTATGTATTAATTTGTGCATGTCCATCACCCATTTCGTATGATATGTTACGAATTACAATTCGTATTATATGTTTTGATTTGCAATACGTACAATATGTTACAAATTTGCGAAATGTATTAAATGTTACAAATTTGCAAAATGTATTAAATGTTACGAATTTGCTAAATGTATATGTTACGAATTCAAGCTAGGTGGCTAAAGTTAACTAGCTGGTTAACTTTAGCTAGGCTAGGGGTTAGGGGTTAAGGTTAAGTTTAGGACTTAGGTTAAAGCGTTAGGGTTAGGGTAGGATTAGCTAAAAGGGTTAAGGTTAGGGGAAGGGTTAGCTACATGCTAAGTAGTTGCAAAGTAGCTCAAAAGTAGTAAGTAGTTGGAAGTTGCTAATTAGCTAAAGTTGTCCGTGATGAGATTCGAACTTGCAACCTTTAGGTTGCTAGACGTTCGGATTATACGGCCACCGACCCGTCCGTCCATCCACCCCAACCAATCACCCAACTAAGTAACCATCTGTCTTATGTAACCATACCAAACGTAACATATCCTGCTAATTTGTTTCTGGTTTTATGTGTACTATGTTACGTCTAGTCTATGAGACCAGACTATGCCAGGGTACACAAACATAGTCATACACACATAGTTGCATATAACTTGTAGGTTATATCTATTCCAGAGAGAACAATCTACTTTTTGCTGACTCATAGCATCGATTGATAGGGTTTTATATATTGATTACAGGTGAAAGCAATAATGGATTGTAGGAAAGTCGATAGACGTTAATAGATAATTAAACACACCACAATATCTTACATCATGCAGTGTGATAATCAATAGATACAGTGGCATAATACACAAATAACAACATAATAATTAGATTTGCAGAAGATAATGTTGACATCGACTGCAGTCTGAAGGCTGGAATTGCAGAAGATGAAGTGAACATTGTCTGAGGGCCAGTCTGAGGGCCAGATCCAACAAAACCTGAGCATACGGTATTAGCCGGTTCCCCCTGGGCAAGCATGGCTTCGAGTGCTTTATTTTGTGCTTGGGGTCTTCTAGTACTCTCATATGTGTCACTCACTGGTTCAATTTGTAAAGCAAATAAATCACAGTTTGTGAATTGGACAATCTGAAGCAGTAAAAGGTTTGCCTGACGACTCAAACTGAGTTATTCAGCTGCTCTATCGTTCGCTACATGCTGTACTTCATTGCGGAGAAAGCTAACATTTGTGGGCGTAGCGTAGCGTTTGGCAGGAGCAAGGAGTTTGGGCAGCCAGGCAAGCAAAAGTTACCTGAGTCATAATAGGATCAGTCAGTTTAGGAATCAGTGGGACAGTGTCACTCAACAAAATATAAATACTAGTCACTGACATGAAGCCTTTCAAAAGAGCCCTAATCTATCCTCCTAATGTGTTAAGATTGATTTTGTTCAGTAACCTAATTATGTTTAGACTGATTTATTTCACATAGTAAGACAGATGGAGTTATGTTTGGCTTGACTGACAAACTTCCCAATGTCTCAAGTTACTTACCTCTTTAAAATAGCACATTCTTTTTTTTTAGAAGCAATAATGATGGACAGAGTGGCATATCGCCTTGAGTGCACACCAGAATGCAGTATGCATTAAGAAATGTAGACCCCATGTAGCTGCTGAAATGGTGGGAAGGCTTGAGATGTGTGGTTTCTTAGCATTTTGCGCTTCCCCCTTCAAACAAATATCTGAATGCCAAAAACACAGTTGGAGTGTCAAGTGAAGTTGTGATGATGTCAGGTCAGTCAGTGTTACTGTGGGGTTCAACATTACTGTTAGAGTGTGACAGGATTGTTTTGTTTTAGAATCAACTTCCACCTTTTCGCTGTTTGAAATTAGTGACTTCTGCCAAACTGCAGTCCTTCCAATGGATCCTGTGTGTAGGAAGCACAAGGAAAGCCAAATGAACCCCTATGCCCTATGCACTTGTGGAGATCTGAGAGGATTTGAAAGGTATAAGCAATATGGTAATAGCTCTAACTTGCCCTCTGATAGGCTAGGTGGAAGTTTCACTATATTGCCTATACCAATCAAATTGTATCAGATCTCCTCCACTAGGGCATAGGGTCTAGTGGTTAATTTGGAATTGGGCCGCAGGATGAGCGGCCATAGCCTACACTTCCCAGTCCCTCCTGCATGCCACGGCCTGTTGCAGGACAGGTTGTTACTGGGGTGGGAGCTCATCTTTGACAGATTTGGACCACTGCACTTGTTGTAACCTCACTAGGCCCTATCTAATCATAGATAATGATACTCCATAGTAATGTCTTCATCCTTGCTTCAGGCATGAGCGACATAACCAGTCGGTTAGGGCCCCCGAGCCGTCCCCCTTGATTTTGTTAGTCATTCTCACTCAGATATCATATTAACATGGCATAACCCACTGAGCAAAAACTGGTTGAATCAGTGTTGTTTCCATGTCATTTCAATCAAAAAATCTATGTGATGACGTTGAATCAACGTGGAAAACTGATTGTAAGTCATGGCAAATGTGTACAACTGCAGGAAATTAGCTTTAGAACTGCAAAAACGTAATTTCCAAACAAACCTTGCTTAGTGCCCCCAAAAGGCTAGGGCCGGCCCTGATCCTTGCCAACTTTCCAAAACCTAAACAAACATTGGCGCACATGCCCTTATGACAAGAGAAGGCCACTAGCTTTAATTATGTACCAGTGGTAGACTATGCTTTTATAGTATGTCTACTGCCATGAAGACTGCCTGGTTTGGCATAACGCCAAGAGTATATCAATAGCAAATGATGAAGTGATAGTAAATCATGATACAAACTAATACTGAAATATGAATCTCGTCATGGACGTGGTATCTTGTATGTGGTTTGAAATACATACAGGTCTGTCTGACCGACAGCAGAATCACAGTACCTGGGTGAAATTAGGCATTGTACAGTGGGGGAAAAAAGTATTTAGTCAGCCACCAATTGTGCAAGTTCTCCCACTTAAAAAGATGAGAGAGGCCTGTAATTTTCATCATAGGTACACGTCAACTATGACAGACAAATTGAGATTTTTTTTCTTCAGAAAATCACATTGTAGGATTTTTAATGAATTTATTTGCAAATTATGGTGGAAAATAAGTATTTGGTCACCTACAAACAAGCAAGATTTCTGGCTCTCACAGACCTGTAACTTCTTCTTTAAGAGGCTCCTCTGTCCTCCACTCGTTACCTGTATTAATGGCACCTGTTTGAACTTGTTATCAGTATAAAATACACCTGTCCACAACCTCAAACAGTCACACTCCAAACTCCACTATGGCCAAGACCAAAGAGCTGTCAAAGGACACCAGAAACAAAATTGTAGACCTGCACCAGGCTGGGAAGACTGAATCTGCAATAGCAGCTTTGTTTGAAGAAATCAACTGTGGGAGCAATTATTAGGAAATGGAAGACATACAAGACCACTGATAATCTCCCTCGATCTAGGGCTCCACGCAAGATCTCACCTCGTGGGGTCAAAACGATCACAAGAACGGTGAGCAAAAATCCCAGAACCACACGGGGGGACCTAGTGAATGACCTGCAGAGAGCTGGGACCAAAGTAACAAAGCCTACCATCAGTAACACACTACGCCGCCAGGGACTCAAATCCTGCAGTGCCAGACATGTCCCCCTGCTTAAGCCAGTACATGTCCAGGCCTGTCTGAAGTTTGCTAGAGTGCATTTGGATGATCCAGAAGAGGATTGGGAGAATGTCATATGGTCAGATGAAACCAAAATAGAACTTTTTGGTAAAAACTCAACTCGTCGTGTTTGGAGGACAAAGAATGCTGAGTTGCATCCAAAGAACACCATACCTACTGTGAAGCATGGGGGTGGAAACATCATGCTTTGGGGCTGTTTTTCTGCAAAGGGACCAGGACGACTGATCCGTGTAAAGGAAAGAATGAATGGGGCCATGTATCGTGAGATTTTGAGTGAAAACCTCCTTCCATCAGCAAGGGCATTGAAGATGAAACGTGGCTGGGTCTTTCAGCATGACAATGATCCCAAACACACCGCCCGGGCAACAAAGGAGTGGCTTCGTAAGAAGCATTTCAAGGTCCTGGAGTGGCCTAGCCAGTCTCCAGATCTCAACCCCATAGAAAATCTTTGGAGGGAGTTGAAATTCCGTGTTGCCCAGCGACAGCCCCAAAACATCACTGCTCTAGAGGAGATCTGCATGGAGGAATGGGCCAAAATACCAGCAACAGTGTGTGAAAACCTTGTGAAGACTTACAGAAAACGTTTGACCTGTGTCATTGCCAACAAAGGGTATATAACAAAGTATTGAGAAACTTTTGTTATTGACCAAATACTTATTTTCCACCATAATTTGCAAATAAATTCATTAAAAATCCTACAATGTGATTTTCTGGATTTTTTTCTCTCAATTTGTCTGTCATAGTTGACGTGTACCTATGATGAAAATTACAGGCCTCTCTCATCTTTTTAAGTGGGAGAACTTGCACAATTGGTGGCTGACTAAATACTTTTTTCCCCACTGTATATGATTTCAATCCATTCAATGAAAAGTTCCCAATATAATAAGGACATTGTATACTTGTAGGGATGTTTCCACTTCAATTCCGTGAATTGACATTGGGCTAGTGTAAAGAGATTCTAATCAACTCTAATATTCTAATTTTGTACCCCAAATGATTATTTTGTGATCATGACAAAAATGTGCGTTCAGGATTTTCTTAACGTTTGTATTCATTTTTGCCATTTCCTGTTGTCCTAACAGGTACGTACCAGGGGCAGTGGACAGGAGGAATGCGACACGGATACGGTGTGCGGCAAAGTGTACCTTACGGGATGGCTACGGTTATTCGTTCGCCTCTTCGAACCTCGCTGGCCTCGCTCCGCAGTGAACAGAGCAACGGCACCGTCCTCCATACCAACCTCGACCTGTCAGACAGCCTTGCCGGCACCAGAGGAGGCTTTGTTCTCAACTTCCACAGCGAAGGCGAAGGTGAGAAGAAAAGGGGCCTGTTTCGTAGAGGGTCCCTGTTCGGCAGCCTCAGAAACCTCCGAAAGTCTGAATCCAGGTCGTCCATATCGAGCAAACGCAGTTCGGCACGCAGCGATGCCGCCAGCTCCATCAGCCGAATCAGCTCCAGCGATGCCAATTCCACCATCAGCTTTGGGGATGGAGTTGATGAGTACATGCCCCTGGAGGACAATGTAGACGCCACCACCACAGAGTCCTATATGGGGGAGTGGAAGAACGACAAGCGGAACGGCTTTGGTGTCAGCGAGCGCACCAACGGGATGAAGTATGAGGGAGAGTGGATGAACAACAAACGCCACGGCTACGGATGCACAATGTTCCCAGACGGCACCAAAGAAGAGGGAAAATATAAAAACAATGTGTTGGCGCGAGGCATCAAGAAGCAGCTCATTCCACTCAAAACCACCAAAACAAAACAGAAAGTGGATCGGGCTGTGGAAGGAGCCATACGGGCAGCAGCAATTGCCAGAACAAAAGTAGAAATAGCCACTTCAAGGTAATCAGTTTCTCAATGTGCATTGTTGCGTCTGAAATGACACCCTATTTCCTATGCAGTGGACAACTTTTGACCAGAGCGTTATGGGCCCTGGTCAAAAGTAGTGCACTATATTCGGAATAGGGTGCCATTTCGGACGCAGCTCATGTTGTGGTGGTGTTGGTGGTGATGGATCCTACTGCTGCATGGGCTTCCAGGTCAGGTCTGCTGATTGGGTTAGGTTGAATGGCTGACAGGTTGGGATTCTCAACTAGGGGTCAGGTTTTTATTGGTGTCACCTTATCCTACCTCTCTCCAACATTCTCCAACTTTCTCCAACGCTCTCTCTTGCTCTCACTGACTCTCTCTTTCTCACTCTCTGCCTCTCTCTCTGGCCCTTTAACTCACTCTCTGCCTCTCTCTCTGGCCCTTTAACTCACTCTCTGCCTCTCTCTCTGGCCCTTTAACTCACTCTCTGCCTCTCTCTCTGGCCCTTTAACTCACTCTCACTACCTCTCGTTCTCCATCTTTCACTTTCTTTGTCTCTCTCTCTCACACACACACACACACACACACACACACACACACACACACACACACACACACACACACACACACACACATACACACACACACACACACACACACACACACACACACACACACACACACAGACACACACACACAGAGATTAAAACATGTTTTGCACATACATGTGGCATACGTAACACGTTACATACTTAAAGTTCAGATGATGAACTTCAGTACATAGTAAATTCAGACAGTGGCCCAATGACACACTGGAACAATTTGATACACGCTGTAGTGATCCAAATAGTGAGGATCAAATCAAGACAAATCATGGTACAACCATATTGTTCACATCATTGTGAGGGTGTGACCGTGTGACACATGCAATTGTGAATATTGGCAGGTGAGAGGCTGTCAACAATTGCAAGAGTTCAATAATACATTAGGTTAGTAATGAGTGTTTATAGTTGATTGAGACACATGCTCTTGTTTAAACATATTCAAGACATACATCTCAGAGATAGCTCAGTCTTATAAAAGATCTGTAAGACCAGAATACTAGGTGTGTATTATAAGCATGGAAATCTGGCATCCATGCTGTGTTTATGCTCGTCTGAAATACATTTGATTGCGATCAGGTGGAACACCAAAACCATACATAGCTGCTTGTTGGAGGAAGTTGACCTGTTTGCTGGAAAACTACATAGAAAATATTTGTATCCTCGTCTTAGGCCTACATTCTGTGCCTACTGCTTTTTCAAAAGCATGGGATGACAATGAGTAATTTGCCAGAGCATGGAATAGCAAGGAGAAAGCTGTTGAACTTTTGAAGTGGTAGTTCTCTAAGACACCCACATCAACTTGAGCCAGCCAAGTAATATCTCTGGTTCATTTTAGAACATGTGAGATAGCTAATATGAAGTACAAAGTCATGGTCAATGAAGTCCTTATGACATGGGTTGGACTTGGAATTATTCCAAATTAAATTAAATCAGAAATAAAGACTCAGAGAGAAGAAATTGCAACCATATTGTTAATAGCCTATCTTGCCTATCACTTCTTTCAATGCTACATTAAACAATAATAATAATATTGATTAAACTGCACTATTGTCCTTTGAATGCAATGCACAGATATACTACCATGTTAAACACCCACTCCCTATCTGTTTACAGTATCAAAATAGTCACTTTATTGACGTATCATGCCCACCAATCCCCCCTTTCTTTCTAATCTTCTTGGATGAGAACCACTCATTAGCATGTTCTTTATCCTGATTTTCTGGCATCTGTATACATTTTAATGAGGGCTCTCATATCTAGGCTCACCACCACAACAACTCCTCCTGTCATGAAATAGAAATATGTCCCTGCAGCGGCAGTATGTCTGAAATGAAGGTCTCTGCCTTTGAAGACTGTTATGTGGCTGAGTTGATCAGTGTGGTAAGAGCTTTGGAACGTGCGGACCTGGTTCAGCTTGCGTCACTTTTCTACATCATCTGGGTGGAAGCCCAGGGGAGAGAATGAGGGAGGGAGAGGGAGAGAGAGAAAGAGGGAAAGAGACCAGAGAGAGAGAGAGAGAGAGAGAGAGAGAGAGAGAGAGAGAGAGAGAGAGAGAGAGAGAGAGAGAGAGAGAGAGAGAGAGAGAGAGAGAGAGAGAGAGAGAGAAGGAGAGACGAAGGAGGGCAAGCAGTTCCTGGACCAGACCGGACGGTGTGTGCTAGCTGTGCCCTCCTCACATGTGAGGCCAGCAGCATCTAGTGTGTCAGTCAGCACTGAGCTCTGACTAAATAAGGCAAGGCAGGACTTGGCTTATCAACAGCTGACAGGAATACAGCCTAGCAGCAGCAGCTGAGCTGATACAGTAGCCCGTCTCTGTCCCACCATCCAATATCATCTGGTGGACTACTCAGTCAGTCTATCTGGCTGGGAATAGGTGTTGGGTAGGTATATTACTCATCTTCACGCCCAGCTCTCATAGACTTGCTAACAAGCTCCCAGTAAAGCTTCTTAAACTTGGTTCAGGTCGCCTTTTTTCAATGTGCCCTTGCTCCCTCTCTTTTCTCCCCGAGCCATGTGATGTAGTATAGCCTATCGCCCCAGGTTTGAAAGCTTTAAGGAAGCCTACATGAAATCGTATGATGATGATGATGATGATATAAGGACAACTTGTTGTACTCCTCATTGTACAGTAGCTATGTAAGCCCATGGGCGGCTTAGTGCATGATGACTCAATCAATTCTTGGTAAGATTCTCTCTATAACAGGTTAATGGCATGATTCATTCAACAGCACAACTGCGCTATATGCATATGGAGTTCACATGATTCACAGTGATTCACTGACTGCAAAACTGTCATGTGTCTACATGAGGCAAAGCTAATTGCACATAATAAAGACTTTCCTCAATGCACAATGTAAGGTTCTGTAGTCATGTGCCCCCTAAATTTGTTGAAATGCACCTGCATAGTCAGTAGTTGAAAAAAAGAGTCCACAATTAAGGTTGAAAAAGCATACGTTGTATTCAATTACAGATAAGGACCACATGTTTTACCCTTGTCAACTTAATCGGTTTCAAACACGCATTTTTATCCACCTTCATTTGAAAAGTGAAGACCTTCTCAAAGTTGTTGAAAGGATACATTCAGTTCAAGAGACACCGTGTGAATCCTCCTGCACTCCTCTTTAGTCAGAGGCCCTGAAGGACACTCATACAGACCTGTTTATAAAGAAACACTATTGAATTAATCTTGTATTATTGAACCATTGAAATACTGTACATCATGATAAGTATAAAGAAGTATATCATGCTATTCCTTATGTCAATGCATGTAAATGGTTTGTTTTGAAAACGATTTTACTTGAGAGAAAGGAAGTAAATGCAACACAAATATCTAACTTGAAAAAAAGTTTAATCAGAAATGACAAAAATAATGGTTGTGATGAATGACACAATGCGTTCTATTGAATATCACACAGTGGATATGGCATGTCAAACCATTTAATGTTTGCAACGCTGCTAACAGCGTGAGACTGCATGATAACCATACTCTTTTATTATTTAATTCTCTACTTCTAATATGATTTCATGTTGGAAAAAGCTTTTGCTCCAACAGTATTTACTGGGAACATGTAGCACCAGCTCTCCAGTCTCAACCCTATAAGACACTAAAGACAGTGTCTATCTGGAAGGCCCAGAGGCATTTAGTGCTTCTTCACCCTCTTAGACCTGGCTTGAAGTAGTATTTTAATTATCTTTTATAATTTAGCTGTGTCTGATTGGGCTTGTCTGGAGAAATGAAACCAATGGAACAGTCCCAAAAGTGCAAACTCTGTCAATGTTGCACTCTCAAACAACATGCTCAAACAAATTCTCAAAGTATTTAAAAGAAAACAAATAGTATTTGAACCCCGGTATGTACCCTTCCCAGTCTAACCAGCTCTAATTCTGCTTTGCCTTCATCCAGAACGGCTCACGCCAGAACTAAAGGTGACGCTGCTGACCAGGCCGGTCAGTCAGCCAGTCAGGACTCAGACATCGCCAGGGCAGTGGCCAGGGAACTGTCTCCCAACTTCCATCAGCCAGGTAACCCAACATACCCAACTTGCCCAACCAGACCCCAGCATCTATTTATCTCACAGCCCCTTGTTATAATCCCCTTTGTCCAATGCCTTTCGTGTCTGGGTTGTGTGTTTTTCTTTATTTTCTGTCTGGGGCAGATGTACAGTTGAAGTCGGAAGTTTACATACACCGTAGCCAAATACATTTAAACTCAGTTTTTCACAATTCCTGACATTTAATCCTAGTAAAAATTCCCTGTCTTAGGTCGGTTAGGATCACCACTTTATTTTAAGAATGTGAAATGTCAGAATAATAGTAGAGAGAATGATTTATTTCAGCTTTTATTTATTTCATCACATTCCGAGTGGGTCAGAAGTTTACATACACTCAATTCGTTTTTGGTAGCATTGCCTTTAAATTGTTTAACTTGGGTCAAACGTTTCGGGTAGCCTTCCACAAGCTTCCCACAATAAGTTGGGTGAATTTTGGCCCATTCCTCCTGACAGAGCTGGTGTAACTGAGTCAGGTTTGTAGGCCTCCTTGCTCGCACATGCTTTTTTAGTTCTGCCCACAAATGTTCTATAGGATTGATGTCAGGGCTTTGTGATGGCCACGCCAATACCTTGACTTTGTTGTCCTTAAGCCATTTCGCCACAATTTTGGAAGTATGCTTGGGGTCATTGTCCATTTGGAAGACCTATTTGCGACCAAGCTTTAACTTCCTGACTGATGTCTTGAGATGTTGCTTCAATATATCCACATAATTATGATGCCATCTATTTTGTGAAGTGAACCAGTCCCTCCTGCAGCAAAGCACCCCCACAGCATGATGCTGCCACCCCCGTGCTTCACGGTTGGGATGGTGTTCTTCGGTTTGCAAGCCACCCCCTTTTTCCTCCAAACATAACGATGGTCATTATGGCCAAATTTTTGTTTCATCAGACCAGAGGACATTTCTCCCAAAAGTATGATATTTGTCCCCATGTGCAGTTGCAAACCATAGTCTGGCTTTTTTATGGCGGTTTTGGAGCAGTGGCTTCTTCCTTGCTGAGCGGCCTTTCAGGTAATGTCAATATAGGACTTGTTTTACTGTGGATATAGATACTTTTTTTACCTGTTTCCTCCAGCATCTTCACAAGGTCCTTTGCTGTTGTTCTGGGATTGATTTGCACTCATCTCTAGGTGTCACGTACGTTGAGTACAGGATTGGACCAAGGTGCAGCGTGGAATGCATACATGTTTATTTATTAATTAAACACCGACAAAACAACAAAAGCAACGTAACGTGAAGCTCACAATGGCAACACACAAACAAGCCAAACAAGAATCAAGATCCCACAACATAGGTAGGCAAAATGTCTACCTAAGTATGATCCCCAATCAGAGACAACAATCGACAGCTGCCTCTGATTGGGAACCACACCCGGCCAACATAGATCTAGAAAACATAGAATCTATACATAGAAATTCACACCCTGACCAAACCAACCAAAGAAAACCGGGCTCTCAAGGCCAGGGCGTGACAGTGTCTGGACCCTGGTGTGGGAGGCCCCGACCCTGGAGAGGGGTTGACGTCTGGTTCTGGAGTGGAGCCGCTGACCGGAGCAGAACTGGACCCCGGGGGAGCGGACTGCTCTGGCTCTGGACTGGAGCATCTTACCGGGGCTGGACTAGGCACCGGTAGAGCGGACTGCTCTGTCTCTGGACTGGAGCAGCTGACCGGAGCTGGACTGGGCACCGGTGGAGCGTACTGCTCTGGCACTGGAGTGGAGCAGCTGACCGGAGCTAGACTGGGCACCGGTGGAGCGGACTGCTCTGGCACTGGAGTGGAGCAGCTGACCGGAGCTGGACTGGGCACCGGTGGAGCGGACTGCTCTGGCACCAGCCGTACCGGGCTGGGGACACGCACCACTGGTCTGGTGCGAGGAACAGGCACGGGCCGCACCGGGCTGGGAACACGTACCCCTGGTCTGGTGCAATGAGCAGGCACGGGCCGCATCTGGGCTGGGAACACGTACCACTGGTCTGGTGCGAGGAGCAGGCACGGGCCGTGCCGGACTGGGAACACGCACCACTGGTCTGGTGCGAGGAGCAGGCACGGGCCGTGCCGGACTGGAGACACGCACCACTGGTCTGGTGCGAGGAGCAGGCACGGGCCGTGCCGGACTGGAGACACGCACCACTGGTTTGGTGCGGGGAGCAGGTACGGGGCGTACCGGGCTGGCGACTCGCACCACTGGTTTGGTGCGGGGAGCAGGTACAGGCCGTACCGGACTGGATACACGCACCACTAGTTTGGTGCGGGGAGCAGGTACGGGGCGTACCGGGCTGGAGACACGCACCACTGGTTTGGTGCGGGGAGCAGATACGGGGCGTACCGGGCTGGCAACCAAGGTGCAGCGTGAAATGCATACATGTTTATTTATTAATGAAACACCGACAAAACAACAAAAGCAACGTAACGTGAAGCTCACAATGGCAACACACAAACAAGCCAAACAAGAGTCAAGATCCCACAACATAGGTAGGCAAAATGTCTACCTAAGTATGATCCCCAATCAGAGACAACGATCGACAGCTGCCTCTGATTGGGAACCACACCCGGCCAACATAGATCTAGAAAACATAGAATCTATACATAGAAATTCACACCCTGACCAAACCAACCAAAGAAAACCAGGCTCTCAAGGCCAGGTCGTGACACTAGGATACAGAACGTGTCTCCTTCCTGAGCGGTATGGCGGCTGCGTGGTCCCATGGTGTTTATACTTGCATACTATTGTTTGTACAGATGAACGTGGTACCTTCAGACATTTGGAAATAGCTCCCAAGGATGAATCAGACTTGTGGAGGCCTACAATTCTGTTTCTGAGGTCTTGGCTGATTTCTTTTGATTTTCCCATGATGTCAAGCAAAGAGACACTGACTTTGAAGGTAGGCCTTGAAATACATCCACAGGTACACCTCCAATTGACTTAAATGATGTCAATTAGCCTATCAGAAGCTTCTAAATCCATGACATCATTTTCTGGAATTTTCCAAGCTGTTTAAAGGCACAGTCAACTTAGTGTATGTAAACTTCTGACCCACTGGAATTGTGATACAGTGAATTATAAGTGAAATAATCGGTCTGTAAACAATTGTTGGAAAAACTACTTGTGTCATGCACAAAGTATATGTCCTAACCGACTTGCCAAAACTATAGTTTGTTAATAAGAAATGTGTGGTGTTGTTGAAAAACAAGTTTTAATGACTCCAACCTAAGTGTATGTAAACTTCCGACTTCAACTGTATATGCAAATAGACAAAATGTAAATGAAAATCTGTTAAGAGAGGAATATAATTATCATAATTTACCTTGGGGTAAAATAAAGCTCTGTATTTGTATGATTTATTTTATACAGTCTTTATCATATTTATCAAGGGTGCCAATAATTTTGGATCTGGCTGTATGTCTACGTCGTACAGCATATTCTTGTACAAATTAATATTATTTTTTCAGCTTTTGTCAGCCTGCTTAGTTTTGTAAGAGGGTGGTTCTTCAGTGTGATCAGAGATTGTATTGTTCATGTTATGGTCTCATGCATGTTTAACTCCTCTATGCATGTAGGTCTGTGGTCTTATGTCATCGTTGGGCATTCCTCTTTTTACCACATGGTCTTGCTCAGGTCTGGACCATATAGCCTCTTTAAACCTTTGACACTTGACCTGACACCAAGATAGTGTATATCACCGACTATTAATAACCATGTTCCATAACCAGCCAACATGTTCCATAGCAAGCAAGCCAGCCTGCAAGCTCACAGTTTACTATAGTATACTACAGTACTTACTATAGAATTCTGTAGTAAACTGTAGTATACTGTAGAATACTATACTACACACTGTAGTATCAATCGATCATGTGTATTACTTAGTATAGCATTTTGTAGTATACTGTAGAAGACTATAGTAAATACTACAGTAATATCAGCAAAAACAATACAGTCCGCAAAAACACTATTTTTTTTAGTTTTCATTTTCATTTGCATGTACCCTGCCCATTCCCCTCCCCATATCCCAATCTGTGCCACCTGTAAGTGAGAAACTTACATGCCAAGTATAGCCCACATATTGTGTTCCCTATGATTATAGAAAAGTCTAACGTTCAGACTCTAGTGCCACCTACCTACCTACCTACATGTTAGGGAATATGTGCTCCTTTAGTATTTCTCCAGTAGGTTTCCTCAAGGAGAAAGCCCCCCACTTCTATGTCAAAGATAATCAAACAAAAACACTTTAGTAAATACAGGAATGTCCCCCAAAACAGTACAGTAAATACTACAGTATACTACAGTCCGCAAAAACACTACAGTAAATACTGCTTAATACTACAGTCCACAAAAACACAACAGTAAAAACTACAGTATATTACGGTCCGCAAAAACACTACAGAAATGACTATATAGTATATACTACTCATTGTTTTATTTTTATTTTTATTTTTATTTATTTTTTGGGGGGGGGGGTAGATCAGCTTTAATATTGCAGATAGATTGTAACTTCCATCAATGTAATTGTCTGCATCACTTCCAATCCCCCATATGTTTTTTCTTTCTCGCAAATATATGCAGTTGAAGTCGGAAGTTTACATACACTTAGGTTGGAACTCGTTTTTCAACCACTCCACAAATTTCTTGTTAACAAACTATAGTTTTGGCAAGTCGGTTAGGACATCTACTTTGTGCATGACACAAGTCATTTTTCCAACAATTGTTTACAGACACATTATTTCACTTATAATTCACTGTATCACAATTCCAGTGGGTCAGAAGTTTACATACACTGAGTTGACTGTGCCTTTAAACAGCTTGGAACATTCCAGAAAATGATGTAATGGCTTTAGAAGCTTCTGATAGGCTAATTGACATAATTTGAGTCAATTGGAGGTGTACCTGTGGATGTATTTCAAGGCCTACCTTCAAACTCAGTGCCTCTTCGCTTGACATCATGGGAAAATCAAAATAATTCATTCAAGACCCCAGAAAAACAATTGTAGACCTCCACAAGTCTGGTTCATCCTTGGGAGCAATTTCCAATCGCCTGAAGGTACCACGTTCATCTGCACAAACAACAGTACGCAAGTATAAACACCATGGGACCACGCAGCCGTCATACCACTCAGGAAGGAGACGCGTTCTGTCTCCTAGAGATTAACGTACTTTGGTGCCAAAAGTGCAAATCAATCCCAGAACAACAGCAAAGGACCTTGTGAAGATGCTGGAGGAAACAGGTACAAAATCCTCTATATCCACAGTAAAACGAGTCCTATAACGACATAACCTGAAAGGCTGCTCAGCAAGGAAGAAGCCACTGCTCCAAAAAATAAAAAAGACAGACTACGGTTTGCAACTGCACATGGGGACAAAGATCATACTTTTTGGAGAAATGTCCTCTGGTCTGATGAAACAAAAATAGAACTGTTTGGCCATATTGAGCATTGTTATGTTTCGAGGAAAAAGGGGCTATCTTGCAAGCCGAAGAACACCATCCCAACCGTGAAGCACAGGGGTGGCGGCATCATGCTGTGGGGATGCTTTGCTGCAGGAGGGACTGGTGCACTTCACAAAATAGATGGCATCATGAGGAAGGAAAATGATGTGGATATATTGAAGCAACATCTCAAGACATCAGTCAGGAAGTTAAAGCTTGGTCGCAAATAGGTCTTCCAAATGGACAATGACCCCAAGCATACTTCCAAAGTTGGGGCAAAATGGCTTAAGGACAACAAAGTCAAGGTATTGGAGTGGCCATTACAAATCCCTGACATCAATCCTATAGAAAATTTGTGGGCAGAACTGAAAAAGCGTGTGCGAGCAAGGAGGCCTACAAACCTGACTCAGTTACACCAGCTCTGTCAGGAGGAATGGGCCAAAATTCACCCAACTTATTGTGGGAAGCTTGTGGAAGGCTAACCGAAACGTTTGACCCAAGTTACACAATTTAAAGGAAATGCTACCAAATACTAATTGAGTTTATGTAAACTTCTGACCCACTGGGAATGTGATGAAATAAATAAAAGCTGAAATAAATAATTCTCTCTACTATTATTCTGACATTTCACATTCTTAAAATAAAGTGGTGATCCTAACTGACCTAAGACAGGGAATTTTTTCTAGGATTAAATGTCAGGAATTGTGAAAAACTGAGTTTAAATGTATTTGGCTAAGGTGTCACGCCCTGACCTTAGAGATCCCTTTTATTCTCTATTTGGTTAGGTCAGGGTGTGATTTGGGTGGGCATTCTAGTTTTTATATTTCTTTGTTGGCCGGGTATGGTTCCCAATCAGAGGCAGCTGTCTATCGTTGTCTCTGATTGGGGATCATACTTAGGCAGCCTTTTTCCCACCTTAGTTTGTGGGATCTTGGTTTTGTGTAGTGGTTTTGTAGCCTGCAGTACTTTACGTTTGTGTTAAAATGTTCGCCTACCACGCTGCACCTTGGTCCGAGCCGTCTATCAACGAGCGTGACATAAGGTGTATGTAAACTTCCGACTTCAACTGTATCCATATACATACATACACATACATATACAGTGAGGGAAAAAAGTATTTGATCCCCTGCTGATTTTGTACGTTTGCCCACTGACAAAGACATGATCAGTCTATAATTTTAATGGTAGGTTTATTTGAACAGTGAGAGACAGAATAACAACAAAACAATCCAGAAAAACGCATGTCAAAAATGTTATCAATTGATTTGCATTTTAATGAGGAAAATAAGTATTTGACCCCTCTGCAAAACATGACTTAGTACTTGGTGGCAAAACCCTTGTTGGCAATCACAGAGTTCAGACGTTTCTTGTAGTTGGCCACCAGGTTTGCACACATCTCAGGAGGGATTTTGTCCCACTCCTCTTTGCAGATCTTCTCCAAGTCATTAAGGTTTCGAGCCAGACGTTTAGCAACTCGAACCTTCAGCTCCCTCCACAGATTTTCTATGGGATTAAGGTCTGGAGACTGGCTAGGCCACTCCAGGACCTTAATGTGCTTCTTCTTGAGCCACTCCTTTGTTGCCTTGGTCGTGTGTTTTGGGTCATTGTCATGCTGGAATACCCATCCACGACCCATTTTCAATGCCCTGGCTCACCCAAGATTTGACGGTACATGGCCCCGTCCATCGTCCCTTTGATACGGTGAAGTTGTCCTGTCCCCTTAGCAGAAAAACACCCCCAAAGCATAATGTTTCCACCTCCATGTTTGACGGTGGGGATGGTGTTCTTGGGGTCATAGGCAGCATTCCCCCTCCTCCAAACACGGCGAGTTGAGTTGATGCCAAAGAGCTCGATTTTGGTCTCATCTGACCACAACACTTTCACCCAGTTCTCCTCTGAATCATTCAGATGTTCATTGGCAAACTTCAGACGGCCCTGTATATGTGCTTTCTTGAGCAGGGGGACCTTGCGGGCGCTGCAGGATTTCAGTCCTTCACGGTGTAGTGTGTTACCAATTGTTTTCTTGGTGACTATGGTCCCAGCTGCCTTGAGATCATTGACAAGATCCTCCCATGTAGTTCTGGGCTGATTCCTCACCATTCTCATGATCATTGCAACTCCACGAGGTGAGATCTTGCATGGAGCCCCAGGCCGAGGGAGATTGACCGTTATTTTGTGTTTCTTCCATTTGCGAATAATCGCACCAACTGTTGTCACCTTCTCACCAAGCTGCTTGGTGATGGTCTTGTAGCCCCTTCCAGCTTTGTGTAGGTCTACAATCTTGTCCCTGACATCCTTGGAGAGCTCTTTGGTCTTGGCCATGGTGGAGAGTTTGGAATCTGATTGATTGATTGCTTCTGTGGACAGGTGTCTTTTATACAGGTAACAAACTGATATTAGGAGCACTCCCTTTAAGAGTGTGCTCCTAATCTCAGCTCGTTACCTGTATAAAAGACACCTGGGAGCCAGATATCTTTCTGATTGAGAGGGAGTCAAATACTTATTTCCCTCATTAAAATGCAAATCAATTTATAACATTTTTGACATGTGTTTTTCTGGATTTTTTTGTTGTTATTCTGTCTCTCACTGTTCAAATAAACCTACCATTAAAATTATAGACTGATCATTTCTTTCTCAGTGGGCAAACGTACAAAATCAGCAGGGGATCAAATACTTTTTTCACTCACTGTAAATGCATATATATATATACATATCCTTTAAAAAAATATATTTCCCTTTATTACTTTCCAACCCCACCACCCCTTCCCTATTTGAAGTAAACTAGTGAACAACAATGCTTAGGCCTCTACTTCCAGCTTATACATACTATATACATTTTATGGACACAGTTAATTTTACAATAATTATATTTTGTTTGTTTTTACTCCTGAACTTCCTCTACCCTCAACCTCTCCGATCATTTTCATGATGTCCATCCGGTTTGCTTCAATATGCCATATCTTTCTAACTGTGCTCTTTCACAAAAGCTCTCAACCTATAACCTATATACTTATTATGGACACAGTATGCTTACATTATTAGTTATCTTGTTGTTATTAGTTGTTGTTAGTTATTATTAGTCCCATCCATTCAACACCACCCATCTATCTCTTAATACCATCCATATTGGATTTCTATTTGCCATATATTTTTCAACTGTACTGTGATGCTTTACAAAAGTTCTGAACCCTTATATTCTCATTGTTTCTACAAATTGTAAATTGAAAATAAACATTTTTGCTAAAAGTATTATTATATTATTGATCGATTGACTATGACTTTTCAGATCACCCAGTAGTGCTATCTGCAGGGTTAGCTCTAGGTAAATATTGCAATCCTTTAGCCATTCCTGGACCTGTGTCCAAAAACAAGCTACAAATGGACAGTACCAAAACAAATGATCTAATGATTCTGTCTCTTCGCAGCAAAATCTGCAGAGCTGGGAAGATTGTATCCCCCATATAAATAACATTCTATTGGTAGCAAGAATTTTGTATAATAATTTAAATTGAAAAACTCTACGTTTTGAATCCGGCGTCATTTTGCGTATCAGTTCATAAACACTATGCCATGGAATCGGTACGTCAAAAATCTCTTCCCAACTATTTTGGAATCTATATGGGACGGCTGTCAATCCTTTGGTCTTTAAATGAAACTGGTATACTTTTTATTTATCACAATTTTCTTTAACCAATTATGTTCTTTAATGCAGGGCTGACAGTCAAGTTCCTTACTTTTTCCCCCTTCCACTTTCCTCTTCCATTTTTGCGGTAATGCTGCAATTATTTGGTTGTAATTTTGGGTAGAGCAGACATTTCCATATGTTTTTGTTAGCTGCATGTGCGAGAACTCCACCAGTCCTACCTATGATATCATTTACGAAGATTATACTTTTTTATCAAATTGAGTTTAACCTCAATATTTGTTGCATTATTTGTTCTGTAGTTTCTGGAGGATTAAATTGAAATTGCAACCAACTTTCTATGGCTTGTTTTAGAAATAGTGATATTTGGGAGATTATTTATTTTTCAAATAACTGAAAGTGAGAGGTTGTAATCTGAATAAAGGGAAAAAGGCCATTCTTGAACATTGGGTGAGACAATGTTACTCATTTGCTAGAGAACCAGTTCGGATTTAAGTATAACTTTTGTATACTATTTTTTTAACTACAGTATTTATACTATAGTAAACTGTAAACACTACAGTGACTACTACAGTAAAGTCAGCAAAAACACTACAGTGAATACTATAGTATTCCTACTATAGTATTTTTTCATGTGTGCTGTTCTCTTTTATTTAAGTAATTTCTTATTACTGTTTGTTTATGCCCTGTAAATGTCTTATTAACAATGATTTATCCTTGTGATTTGATTGACTTTTTATGAACAACTGCTGAGGTTGTAGAGATTTAGTAAGGGATCATAGCACTTTGATGCTATTAATAGTAGAATAAATATTATGAACCATGATTCTATTTGATAACACTGCTTGCGTCAGAAAGGTATCAACTTTGTTGGCTTGCGAGCTCCACTTGTGTCAGCTGTGTGACAGCGTTGGCCTCATCAGTGGTCAGGAGAATGTTGAGAATCCTTCGAAGCTTTAATCATAAACCAACTAGGGCAGCTTTGAAACTCCATTAAGGAACAAATACTCCATACGTGAAATCATGGACGCAGAAAAGGCATCCTAACCATGAGATAACTGAAAGTGAATAAATGGGAATTTATGATTTACCAAAAGCAACACAAAATAATATTTAGGTGTATGTTTATATCTGTATCTGAAATTGGGATTCAGCCCTAAGTGCTTGTTGAGGGGGGAAAAAAACAAATGTGTGTTGATTGTGATATAAACACATGCCATTAATTCAAATATTGTGATATATTAGATCACTGTTTACATGGCCTAAGTATAGCTAAAAAGACTGTATGATAATAATGTCCTTCCATTTTCTAGGCCCTGATTATATAAAGCAGAGGTTCAATGAACCTATTGAACCTATTGTCCAAGAGGAGAAGAAAGAGAAGTCCCCTTCAAGTAGCCCTCATTTCTACCGTAAAGGCACAACCCCAGACCACTCTCCCATCGCGAGTCCACAGCCCTCTCCCCCACCAACACCCCCACCAGCGCCAGCCCCAGAGCCCAAGAAGAGCTTCTTCAGCAAGCTCGTCCCCAAGCCAGGGAAAGAGAACAAGACCCCTTCAGCAGAGAGCCAGGCCCCGGTCATCACTAAGGCAGTGTCTAAGACATCGTTGAAACAGGAAGTAAGACAAGAAGTGCATCCTCAACCGAAAACTTTCAAGATGGCGGAGTCTGTCCCCGCCAGCCCTGGCAATGGACAGCTGCACACTGACACTGAGTACCACGGCTACTACGTGAAGCCAGATGTGAAGATCCCTCCAGACGAACCTGAGGGAGTAGAGGAGGAGCATGTTACCCCGTCTGCCTTCGCCCAAATGCCACCGCCCGCAAAACCTATGGCGCAGTACAGGACACCCACCCCAAAACCTGGAGCGCCAAAGTCAGCAGCCAAAGAAAGCAAACCTGAGCTAACACTTAAAAAACAAGATTCATATAAGCCAAAAAGCCTAGCAGAAATTAGGAAACAAGCCAGCTTGGAGATCACCACGGATTTCGTAGAGGAAGAGTCAGTAAGTAACTCATACTGTATGATGATGAAAATGGGAAAACTGAAGCAAAGAGAAAGAAAGGTGTCATTTCAGAACAACGTATGAAACATCAAAGGTAGTCTCATATTTTCTGTGATAATGTCTAGCTAACTTTCAACTGCCGTTATTGAAATGTTCTCCTGAAGCTTTGTCTTTCCTACTTCACAGGGTCCTAACTCAATACTGGTTGCCCTTGTAATGCTGTTGAATATTGGTCTAGCAATAATTTTTGTCCATTTTTTAACCTGACGGAATCTGAACTGAGGTAAGAATCAGCTTAATAACATCTATTCAGATGTTATGAATTGTAGAGCATTGATACAGTAGTTTTTTCCCGTTCAATTTTAAAGTGTAAATTGCAAGTTTTACATGAAATATTAAGGTACAGATAAGCCTGAATGTGATTCAACATAACTATTAACCCTCTAACTGTTTTGACCCTTCAGTGAACTCATCAAAACTAGTGGCATAGGTCCCTAACTCTCTGCAGTTGCATCAACGGCCTTTAAAAATGGCGCCGGTCAAGCACAGACACAGGCAAAGGAGGACTGTAAATAGAGTGAAACATGGGAGAAAGATGAGACCAGGACCATTCGGCCCAGACGCTGCCCAGTGTCGCTGGTGTTGATTTGTGACTCGCTTGGGTTCTGTGAAAGTTGAAGCAAGCAGTCGTTGGGAAAGCAACAAAAAAACGATCTGCTGATTCAAGCTGTTACCAGTCAAGTGTATTGCCACTTCATCTGCCCTGACAGGGGGGATGTGGACGGGGGTGTGTGTGTGTGGGGGGGGGGGGGGGGGGGGGGAGGATATGATCAGAGATGCACTTTTAGTTGACAGACGTTAACAGCTGCCTTACTATTTTACCATCTGACGTTTTAGTGGGGAGATGCAGTGCACAAGGCTGCCAGAGGAATGTGTTTGGGCAGACTTTGCTGCTGTGGGAGTGGTCTCGGTGTGTCTCAGTGTTCACTAGACTATTCACTTGGTAGATAAGAAATCATACATGTTTCGAAGTGGCACTCACCAGTCTTATTCCATTCCCCACTGCTAAAGCCTTGTCTAACTTCTCATGTTAGGACATGCTTGTGCGTGGGGCTGTTTCAAGTGCATTTGCTTTATGTATTTGTTAGTAACTGTTAGGTTTTCATTAGTTTTTTTTCCCCTTTGTCTGTTTATCCTTAGGTATTACAAATTATTAAGAGAGCATTTTATTTATTTAAGTCTAGTCCATGCATTTCTCAAACTTTTTGAAGATCCTTCAAATCCAAAGGAATTTCCATAAAGCCTATGTTACACAAAGCAGTTCTCATTTGAAAGAAATTGCAACATTTAATTCCAGTTATTGTGAGGACATATTTATAAATAGTCCAATTTGAGAGTCATTTATATGTAATTGAAGTATCTTAGCAGTATACAGGCACAGATGTTTTTGACTAACCAGCTATTGGCTAGAGGCTGGCTACATGTAACACACACTTATGAGATGACATAGTTAACCAACACTGTGATTTAAAAATAAGTAGACGTATATTTTAAGAAGTAAGTAATTTAGAGCTACATTTGTGATATTGAATCACTTTCCTACTGAGTCAACAAAACACATTTTTATTTCTATCTATCTATCTATCTATCTATCTATCTATCTATCTATCTATCTATCTATCTATCTATCTATCTATCTATCTATCTATCTATCTATCTATCTATCTATCTATCTATCTATCTATCTATCTATCTATCTATCTATCTATCTATCTATCTATCTATCTATCTATCTATCTATCTATCTATCTATCTATCTATCTATCTATCTATCTATCTATCTATCTATCTAATCTAATCTAATCTAATCTAATCTAATCTAATCTAATCTAATCTATCTATCCAGCCAGTGATAAAGTTTGTTAACATGGCTAGTCATTCACACACTGACCCTACAGTATATTGCACCCAATTGGTTGCTTGTAATTTGATTGATTTTAAGGCAAAGGACTGTAGTTTTGGGAGTGGTTTGCACTTGCAGATAGATTTTGCAATTTTTCCTTGTGCAATCAAGGATCAATGTGCAAAAATGTTTTCGTCTAAAGTGTTTTGTCAAATAAAGGCATAATGGTTAATTTTGCAATATTGTACATTGTCAAATGGAGGCCTATGACTTTCCAACTTGATTTATTCTTCTTTTGTTCTATTTTGTAGCAAATATGGCATCCAACATTGATTTATTGACACATGAATATAACATAGACAGTAGATTGGCACATGAAGAGAATACATAAGAATAAAGTGATTTGTTTGGTTTGATTTTAATTAAAAAATATGCAGTTGCCTCTTGTTGAGGAATTATTAGATTTTTCTTTAATGATTTGTGCATGGGTTGGTTGGTTGATGCATGTCAAATTTTGTTCTTAATAGTTTGGCGTCTTTCATTTGGCCAAGCAACACCACAGCTAGCCTACCAACACTGGACCTCATACTTACTTACTAACTTGCACGGTTGTGAAAGCAGTCCAATGCTCAAAACCTACTCTGCAATAACACCTTGTTATGTCTGTTGAATACATTCAGGTAGAGTAAATGGTTGGCTAAATGTTTAGATGAGTATTTGTCACAACATTAGAATGACGTTCCAGTTTACTTTGGATAAGACAGAGGAGAGAGTGTCATTGTCTTAAATATGTGAAAGTCTAATTACTGTATTCAATGTCATCAATATTTTATTTTTGTTGTGCCTAGTTAGTGAAGCATGCATATTTGGTTAAATTTTTTGAATAATAAATATGTTCTGTTTGCTCAGTTAAAATAGAATGAAATGTATTATATTTATAAAACTGTACATTTTGGTAAACTGTTGAAAGGTGTAGGAGATGCATTTTCACTGGTTATGGTAACATTTCCATTGCAACAATGCTGAGAGTATGAGGAGGATGTGAAGGATGCATCAGTTGGATTTGAGGGCAGTAACATTGCAATGTTTTACAGAGGTTTGGTCAGACAGACTGCCACAGAGAGTATGTGAGATTGGAAGAAGAAAGCATCAGAAGGGGAAATGGCTCCAGATATGTTTATTACTACTTTTCTGAATGTAAAGTATTAAAGAACATTTAGAGCACAGAGATACAGGGCAATTCCACCACTTTTCCACCTCATATTCATTATCTCCAGCACCATACCACCCACAGACGCCAATTCAACATCTATTCCACGTTGGTTCAACGTAATTTCATTGAAATGACGTGGGAAAAATGTTGATTCAACTAGTGTGTGCCCAGTGGGCAGTGTCTACATATGAAAACAGCACGTTTCTAAGATCCGTGGTTAAAAAGATGAGAAGGAAGTACCTAAACAATGTTTCTCTGTGACATCACAGGGTAGGATTAAAAGTAAGAACTTGTAATGAGTTTGTAGCCAGAGGGAGGGTATTTTCTTGCTCCCAACATCAACACAAATCTCATAGTGTTTGAAAATCACTGTTTTTAAAATGTCTTAACTTTTGATGTCATCAGGTAGAACTTTGTAACTTCATATTTTTTTCTACAAAACATAGAAATGTGCTGTTTTCACATATGTAGACACTGGTATTGTGCTTGAGATAATGAAAATAAGGTTGAAGTGGGTGGTGTTGCCCTTTAAAGAGCACAGGCAAAGTTCAAAGTTGAAAGAACCATGATGAATGATCAATCATGTATTTTTCTTGTCTAAACTGTATTTGCACACAGCTATGTATAAGGCTATTTTCTACTAATTTTACCTGATGCTCCATAAATTTTTTGCCCAAAATTATGAGCTGTTATTACTGTTTAAAGGCAAAGTAACAGTATTTTTATGTATGATTGTATTTTTCTAAAATGTTCTAAACTGTATTTTGGAAAACTAGCCTGGAAACTTTTGGAAAAAGTAACTTACAATTTGATAGATATTTTTAATTAGTCATTTTAATATCAATTCAATATTTATGAACTGCTGCCAGGCTTACAAAGAATATCACTGAATACAAAATAAACAACATTAAGCTATATTGGACAACTCGTTTTGATATTTATGATCTTCTGATCACAATGACTTTAATAGATTTTAGGGCAGCTGTATCTGTCCAATTTGATGTGTGATCTTGTGTGAGTGGGGGCCAGGTTTCTTCTGTCCTTTATCAGAAGTTGGATCAGTGAAGGTAAGGAGGCTATCTGAAAAGAGACACATCAGATTTGACCATAGAGCTACAGGTGTTAATACTCAAACGGCAATGATATTCAAATCAGTTGTTGACGTACGTTTTATAGTTCTCTCCGACACCCTGACATAACACTTTGAATTGTCTATTGTTTTCACTCAAGCATACGGATGTAATACTTCAAATGATTAAACTTCTTATTAACGTTGGTGGTGAGAGGAACGGGGGAAATCCCCTTCGCTTAAATTGATCTGCCATAGCAGCAGGCATACTATTTTATTAGGAGCAGTCTAACCTCCCAGAGTGTGAAAAATTGGCCCTTGTCTGAGGGATTTTGGCAGTTATCCTGAGACTAAAATAGTGTACAACAGCTGCTGCTGGTAGAGTGTCACATTTGAAAGCACTAGAAGAGGTTGTGGATCTCTTTCTGTATGTACTCTGCTCACATCGCAGTGTGTATGAGCGAATGGAAGGAACGTCACTGACAAACTGTTTTTGTTCCATTCTCTTTGTGTTTCCAAACAACCTCTGTAATTGACAGTGGTTCAGAGGAAATGGCCCCAAATAATGAATGTATTGCAGCCATGGCAACTCATAA